GTGACATCCTGCAAACTGTCTCTTTAATCTTCTCGCATATGTGCAGATTACAGGTCGAAAAGAATAATATTTAATTCAGAATACTTGGATTCCATCTTTCACAGCCTCGTAACAAACATTTTTGTTGGAGCCGCGCGTTGGGCGTCCTCCAGAGGCTGCGGCGGATTGAAGACAAACTTACTTTGTTGGAACACGGCTGTTTATTCCGGTCGCTGCCAGAGCGCGGTAAGTTGCTTATAAGCACCGGATATTGTTTCTTTGATGAAACGTGTATAAGTGGCATCTCAGAGTGGTTTCGCTCCGAAGAAAAGCCACATAGTGATTAATTATCTCGAACAGTAAGAGTGTGTGCGCTCCAGGAACAACAATATATTTTTCGTTACAGACCATCGCCGTTCACGGCAGTCGGTTGTATTCATATTGAGCATTCAAATTAGGTAAGTATTTTTTATAAATTACATAGTCTTACACATGTAGCTATGTACATCCAATTTCATTGTTTTTGTTTGTTTTTTCTTATATAGGTAGTATATTTCAAGCAGTTGCGTTATATACGAGTGTTTTCGCTCTGTTTTCTGGACTGCTACCTACCTGGTACTTCTATTAACAGTGGGATAAGTATTACCACTAGTTTGGCTGTGTAAAAAAAAAAAAAAAAAAAAAAATCTAATTTGGTACCTTACCGTATAGAATTTTTGTGGCTCCCAGGGTGTTCTCGCTTGGCCTTCATTAAAGCACTGCTGTGGCAATATGGAACAGCTTAGCCTGACGTGCACTGTGTGCAGGGCCACTTTACAGCAGGACGATGGACATGACTGCTGTCCATCCTGCTTAGGATTGTAACATTTGAAGCAGGGCCTCACTGAGGATGCCTGTATGAATTGTAGCACCATGTCGTGGGAGCGGAGAACCTCCAGACTAGCTGCAGTAGAGGCACTCTTGACCTCAGAGGCCCCTCGGCAGGGAAAACTGTCGGCTAAGCGGAAAACGGTGGAAACGGTGAGCGTCTCCACCAGTAAGAGACATAGAGAGGATTCTTTAACCAATAGAGTGGAGGTGTTGACCTCAGAGTTTGCCCAGATTAAGTCTTTAATTCTAAATCTGCAACCAAGGGAGGCACCATCACCGATGTTGAGAAATCCCAGTAAGGAATTACCCGTTCCTGAGGAGGATATGCTGTCCATGGCAGCCTCTCAAAACCAGTTTCGGGAGGAGGGAAATGAGGAATTCTTATCAGTAAGCCACTCTCACTTCTCTCATGATGACTCTCAGAACACGGCACAGGGTTCAGCTGAAGGAGTAGAATCAGATCAGGATGTGGTGAGACAAGCCCTACAGATTGCGTTGGCACGCTTAAGCCTGGACAGTGGCAGCTCCCTCCAGTGCCTTTTTCAGAGGAACGGCAAAACCATCTGCTCTTAGCATTCCCCCATCCAAAGATTATATTGGGGAACTACAGAGGTGCTGGGCTAATCCCAAGTCACTTACTCATCATACCACAGCAAGCAGGGCCTTGGCAGCAATGCACGAAATAGACTCTTATGGCCTGGGTCAGATGCCGAAAGTGGATCCATTTATCGCCTCTTTTATCAAATCACCGGAAGAGGCTTGGAGACCTAATGCTCGCTGCCCACGACCTCAGTGCAGAATAACGGACGATCTTCTTAGTCAAGCGTACAATACTGCAGCACGCATGGATCGCATAGGGAATTCACTCTCCCATCTTATGCTGGTGCTATCCCAGTCTCTCCAACCTATTGGGGGTGATCCTTCAGCCCAAATACTAAGCGATGCATCATTGCAAGCATTCGCATTCATGTCACGAGAGTTGGGTAGACTCATGTCAACACTCACTCAGGCACGCCGGCAAGTATGGCTGGCACAGTCTCCATTGTCAGAGGCCTGTAGGAGAACACTTCGTGACCACCCTGTAGTCCCAGGCCAACTGTTTGGACCAGCGGCACAGCAAACGCTGGAACAGAGCATTCAGATGAATAAGACCAGACAGCAGCTGGCAGACCTAAGAGGAACTCCACCATCACAAGTTAGACAAGGGTATAGGGGACGGTATCCTACTCGCTCTCAACCTTTAGTTCGTTCTGGTGCTGTTCAGAGGAGCCACCCAAGGCAACTAGATCAGCATGTGCAGTACCCCAGAGCACGAGGACAACAAGTATTTAGGGCTCCAAGGGGCAGGACGTCAGGTCGGCCTACTTTCGCTGCGCCCTTATCAGAGATGGGTGAACAGTCTTGGGTGGGGGGCAGTGTGGCAGCACAGGATGATCAGGGGATTATAGAAACCCGAGCAAGCGACAAAAGACATAAATACCCTGGAGCTCCAAGCAGTGCAATTAGCTCTGAAGCATTTTGCGCCGGCCCTAAAGAATCGCCATATTCTCATCAGAACGGACAATACATCGGTGGTATATCATATCAACCATCAAGGTGGCACGAGGTCCAGTCAGTCCTTGAGAGTAGCACAAGACCTCCTGACATGGGCCTTCCCTCGATTCGCAAGCGTCAGGGTGATGCATATACCGGGAGTGTCGAATGTGGTGGCAGACTTCTTGTCTCGCCACAGACCTTTGCCAGGAGAATGGAGACTCAATCCAGAAGTTGTTCAGATGATTTGGCGACGATTTGGCAGAGCACAGGTGGACCTGTTTGCCTCAGAGACCTCGACCCACTGCCCCCTGTGGTTCTCCTGGACAGAGAAGTCCAGCCCGTTGGGTCAGGATGCGTTAGCACATGCCTGGCCAAATCTTCTACTCTATGCCTTTCCCCCGAACCCCTTAATTCTGCCAACTCTCCACAGAATTCTTCAAGGGAACCACAGGATGCTCCTAGTGGCACCGAACTGGCCAGGGAGACATTGGTTTCCAATGTTATGCAGGCTTCTCAATGGGGAGCCCTGGAGCCTACCCAGGAGGCAGGACCTACCCAGGAGGCAGGACCTGGCACTCAAACCCAGATCGGTTACAGCTCTGTGTCTGGCCGCTGAAGAGCCAGAATTACTGTTGAAGTCTTGTGATGTTAAGGTGCAAAACACAATCTTGAATTCTAGAGCACCTTCCACCAGGAATATCTATGCTTGCAGGTGGAAGCTTTTCACTGATTGGTGTACACCAAGAAGTTTGGTCCCAGACCACTGCCCAGTGCCAATGGTGTTGTGTTTTCTGCAGTCCCTGCTAGACAATAACAGGGCTCCCTCTACCCTAAAGGTATATGTGGCTGCAATTTCTGCCCAGCATGTAAAGGTAAATGGTCAATCACTAGGGTCACATATTCTAATCACCCGCTTTCTGAAAGGTGCTCAGCGATTGCACCCTGCTCCAACTGTTAGAGTACCCGCATGGGACCTCAGTCTGGTTTTAAGAACACTTGCACAACACCCATTTGAGCCAATGGAGCATTGTGACCTGAAGTGGCTTTCAATAAAGACTGTATTCCTTTTGGCAATAACGTCAGCCAAACGTGTTGGTGAGCTCCACGCATTGTCAACCAATACGTCCTGTATGCGTTGGAATGCGGATGGAATAATGGTGACATTGTGGCCTAACCCCTCATTCCTACCCAAAAGGCTCTTAACTTCATTTAGGAATCAACCAATTGAGTTGGTAGCACTTAATCGTTCTGTGTCTGACACACAAGAGCGCAATCCAATGGAACAAGTATGCCCAGTGCGAGCCCTTCGGGGCTATCTGAGTGCCACAGAGAAACTGCGACGGTCAGACCAACTCTTTCTCTGCTACGGCGGGCCAAGAAAAGGGCAGCCTCTGTAAAAGCAGAGGTTGTCACACTGGGTGGTGGAGGTCATTGTCCAGGCATATAAGGAAAACAACCTGACAGTGCCAGCCGGCATAAAATGCCATTCAACAAGAAGTATCTCAACATCTTGGGCAGCATTAAAAGGTGTACCTCTAATGGACATTTGTGCAGCGGCTAATTGGTCATCCACAGATACCTTTTCCAGATACTACAGGGTTAATGTGGTAGCCCCTGGTGCTCTGGAAGCGGCAGTCCTCTTGGGACCCTCAACTTCAGCTTAAGGTTAGGAGTAGCCTCCTCGTGACCTTGTTGTTATGAGTCATCCAGTGGGAAGCACTGCCTCTGGCGGTCAGTAAGAACGAAATAGAACGAGAGTTACGAATGTAACTACAGTTCTATGAGTTCTGGATGACCGCCAGAGCACCCTGTCACTCGGAGTCTCGCGAGAAGCAAACACACTGCATTCTATAAGAAGGCAATGTACACTCTATAGTGTAAGTGTGAGTCATTAAATGAGGATTAATTAGATAGGAGACGTGATATAGATGGGGTTACATTAACTAGTAGTTCTCTCATAAAGCATGGATAAAATAAATATAAATACAAGAGACAGTATACAAGACATAAAATTATCACACACAATGTCCTGGGATGCATGTTCATTTACAGATCAGTTTGTCTATAAATTAATGCAGGAAAGTCTGTTTTAAGGGCTGTAGGTCTTTCCTATGGCCTAGGTCTTGACCACATGACCATATTTTTCACAGCAATAAAGGCATCTTATCTGTATGTAACAAAAAGTTATGTGTCTGATTGTCTCAGTCGTTACACACCATTATAGTAATTTTTTCCACTCCCCCACAATGTGTTATGGCCATTTTGCAAGGATTATAATAATTAACAATTACCAACTCTCTCTTTCCAGCCCATACTTTCACTACCACATTTTCTTGTTCACTTCCCACTCCTAAGACTTGGTACGGTATTCCTTGCTTTATAAATGTAGCACACCCTCTTCCTCCTCCCCCCTCCCTTTTATCATACCTTACCACCACATAATCATATAAAACAAAATCCAATTGAGGTTTTAACCAAGTTTCCTGAATGCACACAATCTCTGTTTTTCTACCATACTAACAACAAATTGCTTAAAGTCCTGCCCATTAGCTAACAGATTTCTCGCATTCCATTGTAAAATCAGCATGATTAGGATTATGAACCTAATCATGATGTCACAATCTGGAGGCGTCACTGGAGGATTCGGCAGTTCGGCTGGAGGCGTCACTGGAGGATTCGGCAGCTCGGCTGGAGGCGTCGGCGGTTCGGCTGTAGCCTTCACTGCATGGATACAGATAATCCGCTTTAGTCAGTCCGTTTAGCGGAATCCAGTCTCAGATTTAGAGCATAAAACACAAATTGCAAGTTTCTTATTTTAAGTATTAATCGTAATCTATTAGTATTGTAAAGCCATCCGGTGCTTGTTCAGCTGAATACTTTTGACACAGAGAACGGTAAAGTAATTAAATCAAACAAGACAAACTGAAATCACGAGAAAGCCGACCCAAACACTAATATAATAACATATCAAATACCTATATATGGAGCCATACACTGATGTCCACATCCATTGCTGCAGCATTTCTCATTCTTCGGACAGTCACTGTCATAGTAACACAACTCGGCACACATTCCTGCTCCAGACTTTGAGCTTGGACACTCCCCTGGCTTTGCTGTTATACAGACACATGACAGAGAAACCACATCACTGAATACTGAATGTCTCATTCACCGCTTAAAAAATAAAGTTGTCAAAGATGATCGGAGTAGTTTTTACAGGAATATTCAGTCTTTCTACTTGGTAGTTTCATGTTTAGTTCAATCGGTTTCTTTGCAATTGTGAAATGTACTTGCAATTTCTGAGTGAAAACTTGTTTATACACCATTTTTTTCAGTGAAGATCTATAGCATCCATCATTAAACTCACTGAAAACAGGCGGCACGCACACAGCCCCACAGGGAAATTGACAGCATTTGTGTCCTCCAGAGCAGTCTCGATCACAAAGACATCCTCGACGGGACGGCACGACGGTCAGCTTCGCCGGACACTGACCGGACACTACAAAAGAGGATTCAAGAGGATAGTTAGGGGAGACCAGGAAGTGCTTTAATAGCTTGTTTCAGCATTTGCAGAACAGGGGTTTTGCAATATGTGCCTCAAACTTTAATAATATTCACATTTATCAGCTTCAAATCAAAGTAGCTTAGACATCTACCATTTATCACTAAACTGCGTCAATTAGTTTCAAAGACTGAGAGTGCCGTTACAACCTATAGTAGGGCGAGTAATAGTACAATGCTGATAGAAAACATGATGCACATCAGTAAATAGGTTGTTGTAACTAAGTGTACTTCAAAAATTGTTATGCCATCCCTCATTCCAAGCATTTTAATAGGCTACACAACACAAAAGTTATAGCTCCCCGTGTTATAGGCTATTGAAGGCATAAATAGTTGTTAAAATAGGGAAAACAAAACATGAAGCAGAAGTTTAAATTCAGGATTGATGTCTATGTGGTAACAACTGCGTAAGCATATAGCATGTTCTTGATTTACAGCAAACAAAAAAATACTATACATTAGAGATTGGATGGGTTTTACTTGTACAATGAAATAAATATGCATAAACTTATGACAGTTTTGCATATTTATACCTTGCTTATTATTGAAACTAAACCACCGTACAAAGTTAAACTTCCACTGGACGTCTGTACTGTACTTTTGTAAACCAATGTGCTGAGATGGGTCCAAGTCATATTTTGTAAGGCACGTTCTTCGGGCTGTGTAATAAACTAAAAGATCTTCTCACCTACGACTCCAGCGTCTGTTGTGCTCAAACATGCAGACAGACACAATAAAACAGCACTAAATGAGCAGTACACTCGAGCTGTCATCCTCACGACCTGCGATCTCACAATCACGTCTGCTAGAAGATGGGCTGAATTAGTGAGTCAGGAGGGGCAGGCAGGGAGAAACACAAACTACAATGAAAAACCGTGCCGCTGCATCAAAATATCTGCTGAATCCCACAACAAACGCTGTAAAAAAAAAAAGTGGGGTTTTAAAGATCTTCTTGAAAAAAACGCGTTTTTAAAGATCCAAGGAGGTCTAGGTAACTCCAACCCTGATGATTCTCACCTGCCTGCAGCTTTCTAGTAGCCAGGGACGGATTAAGGCGATGATGTGCCCTGGGCACGGATGTCTCAAAGGCCCCCTTCACCAATTTTTTGGACAACAGTGGGCAGGCAAGCCAGGCATTTTGAGGGGACCCCCGAGGGCTGGTCATTTAAACAATCAGAAATGTTAATAATAACAGACGCAGCAACATCTCTGCATCCCCCAGTGTGGGGCCTCTCGCTCGTTACGCTCGTTATGCTTTTACCTTTTTCAAACTGGTCTAGCGCTTACTCGCGGTAGGTAGAAAATGCATGATTTGATTTGTTAAACATGAAAATAACTTATCCGTCTGGCATGGCAGCTCGCTCTAACTTTAACCTAGATAAATGCATATCCAAGTGCGTGTGCGGAGTGTGCAGCGCGCACTGCATGGCAGGCGTCGGCGCGAACACTTGCATTTTCCTATCAACAGTGGAAACAACTTGAAATAGGCCTACTCAATCTTTTCTGGTCATAGGCCTGTACAGAAAAGAATAATGCATCAGTCGCAAGTAGCTACTTTTATTTTTGTAAACTCACAATAACAAGAAAACGTTGTGCTTTTGTAAAATAAAATAAAACAAACAGGGCGCGCTTTCATGGTCTCCGTGGCGTGAACTGGAGCGCGTCTCAAAAATGAACTGAAACACAGTGTATAGCCTCACATACATGATGAATATTTCTATATAAAGCTTGAAATGTCCACTTTTAAACGAAAAAATTCGAATCGAAAGCAAATACCGGCTGATTAGGCTGATATGATATGAAAGGTGCATTTCTCTCTAAAGGCGCATCCACTTTACAGCGGAGATATAGATATGATTGCAGCCGAGCCGACACTGATTTAATTAATTTATTTATTATTATTATTAAACAATAAAAATGCCTAGTTTTTTTCCAGACATATATTATCATTAGCCTGCTTTTGCTGGTGCTTTGAGGCAATATTTATGCATGCGCTTGCTTGAGCGTGGAATAGGCTATATGCCTCCACTCAGTATTTAAGCAGAAATTAATATTAACTTGAGATTAGTCGACTAATTGCTTAAAGGAATGACTACTAGTCGTCGACTAGAAAATCTTTAGTCAATGGCAATTCTAATCAATGCATTTAGGCTAGTTGACATTTATTTAGTTTTATTTAGTAGCCTAATTCTAGTATCCAGGTCTTTACGTTAAATTAGTTGAGTTAACAATTAGTTAATGAACTAAAATAATAAAACAAAGATTAAATTAAGATGCTATATAGCATTGCTTGTTCCACCACAAAAGACACTTTTTAAGGTGACAATCCGTTACACATTTGAAGATTTACTCTTGAAGATTGTTGTATTGTATTATATCTTCTGTTATAAAGATGAAGATTGACATTTCGTTAAAAAAATAAGCCCATAGGCTACTATTGTAAAACATAAACAACTTAGCCTATGTTCTGCCTTGGTTGTGGTTTTAAACTCATTTTTGTTTTGGTTTTTGAGTAACCGTCTTCTACGCGTGACTTTTATATTACGCAATGCTTTTCACTCGCCTCTAGATGTCCTTCTCAACAGCGCAGCAATACATTAAAATTATTTATTTGATTTATTTACTAGTTAATACTTTGCAACTGCAAAAAAAATCACATTATTCCTCAATATTTAACACAATTTTACTGAAAATAAAAATAAAATAAAAATAATTATTTGAAAAAAATAGACAGTACATTTTACAGGGCCCCCTGCTGGCCCAGTGCCCTGGGCAAGTGCCCAGTAGGCCCGTGCGTTAATCCGTGCCTGCTAGTAGCCTAATCTCGAAGACCTTGATTAGCTTGTTCAGGTGTTTGATTAGGATTGGATGTCGTAATAATTAAAGTAATTAGGAGATGATTGAGCGTTTGCCAAAAGAATCTGCAGTGGTCAGGTGGTACAGCGATCAAGTGGTACCAGTCGGAGTAGTAGGCTAGCACAAGTTTTAACCGTAATCAAAAAAAATCCGTTTGAATGTCCACTGCGATATCTTGTCCTTTTAACAGTTAATGGGTTTTCCAGTGCCCTGACACACTAGTCAATGTCCAGTGGCATCTTGCTTCTCTGTGTTCACAAGTTTCAGTCCTTTCAATATAAAAGTCTTCTCTACTGACTGACTCACTCATAAAGACAGTCTTTGCCACCATCTAATGGTGAAATAATGTAACTTCTGTTGCTGTTCACGGTCAGGGACTATTTTTTCCAGCTGAAGGAAGCCTTTGTGATTTTACTTCATGAAAGTTGCATTGGGTAACGCTTTAGATTACAGCCCGGAAAGTATTGTGTAATCAAGAGGAATTTACAGTGTAACTTTCTGTAATTATTGTGTACCTATAAAGTACTTACATGTAAGTATAAGCATACCTGCCAACTTTTGAGTTTTGCTCGGCGTGAGATTTGTTGACGACGGGGGGGGGGGGGGGGGGGGGGCGGGGGGGGTAGAGACGAGTGAGATTTGTTGACGGGGGGGGGGGGGGGTGGGGGGGGGGGGGGGGGGGCGGTCTCGCTCGCGCAAGGTCTCTCGCTCGCTCTACGCGGTTTGGAGAACAATCTCTGTCTCGCATGCACGCTCGCTCTAGATAACGGGAGATTTTTAACGAATTTGCGGTATAACTAGTCGATCACGAGTGGCTCAACAGGTAGATATATAGATAAACTCATCTTCCAGGCATTTGACCGCCCGGGTTGACACTTCAGCGTGAGAAATCGGGAGTGTGGCGTGTGAGCGTGTGAAACCAATCAAATGCGGGTGTCTCACGGCCAATGCGTGAGAGTTGGCAGCTATGTATAAGGGAACAATATGTAAAGTTTGGGGAATAAAGGGGTAACAACCAGGAGAAATAAAAAAATATTTATACTGTAAGTATTATAGAACTGAGGGGTACTTATACTACTATTATGACACAATCTTACATTTGGGAACAATTTAGCGAGAACATACACTGCGTACCTTTTTGTAATAATTGTGTACCAAGGCAATACATACTGTATCTTCTTAAAAATGACAGGGTACATATCTATGCATTTATAAAACAAAAAAATATATATTTGTTTTGATAGCAAAAGTGCAGATGTTTGGGCTAGCATGTTTCAAGGCAAGAAAAGCTAAGACTATTGCAATTGTTTTTAAATATACTGGGAAATAAATCCGGTTTCATGTGGTTACAGGGTAAGTGGTGCTTGTATAATAAATAAAGGTTTCCGAGTCAGTGATATAAGATTGTGTGTATGCATTTTTATTGTACTTACCCTGTAACTACATGGAACAAGAGGGTAACAAGCACCACTTTAATTTACAGCCCGCAATGTCACACTTACCCTGTAACTACATGGAACAAGAGGGTAACAAGCACCACTTTAATTTACAGCCCGCAATGTCACACTTTCCCTGTAACTACATGAAACAAGAGTATCTTTCCCCAATATTTAAGCAAAAGTTGCAATAGTTTTTGTTTTCAGTTCAATTCTTTTGTGTTAAAAAAATTACTTTATAAATGCATAGATATGTACCCTGTAATTTTTAAAAAGCCTATTCAGTATGTACTGGTTCACCATTATTTAAAAAAAAGGTATGTTCTTGCTAAATTGCTCCCAAATGTAAGATTGTTATATCATAATAGTAGAATAAGCACCCTTTAGTTCTTTAATACTTACAGAATAAATAATTGTTTAATTCTCCTGGTTGTTGCACCTTTATTCCCCAAACTTAAAATATTGTTCCCTTATACTTATATTGTAAGTACGTAATAGGTACACTATAATTACCGAACGTTACACTGTAAAATCGCTTCAATTACTCAGTACTTTCCGGGCTGTAATCTAAAGCGTTACCTTGCATGGATACATATTTTTTTGGCTTTAATTGTTGGATCGTGTGGTAACTCCGCTTCGCGTCGTGCCTAACAACACCCTTTAGCCGTGACTTATTTACGATACAGCACAGCCTCTTGTACCTTATTGCTTACATGTTATGTGCTTTGAGACATGAGGTAAATTAAAGGTGACATATTTTGCCCCTTTTCACAAGATGTAATATCTATGGTGTCCTCAGAATGTGTCTGTGAAATTACAGCTCAAAATACAACCCAGATCATTTATTATAGCTTGTCAAAGTTGCCCCTTTTTGGGTGTGAGCAAAAACGCACCATTTGTGTGTGTGTGTCCATTTAAATGCAAATGAGCTGCTGCTCCCCAGCTTCGGATACTCCGTCAATAACAAAACACGCGAATTTCAGACAAATTTCAGAAATAAGTAGCGGAGGGCAGCCTTACGGAGAGACTCAGGAAGAGGTTGCAACTTTTAGACTTAACCTGGACATTTCTGAATGGTTAGTGGATACAGTTATGTAGTTGTTGTGGAGTTATATTGATTCACCTAATCAACTTGCATGTGTCGTCATGTTTAACTTTTACACAAGTTGACAGTTCCCCGAGCTCTTTATAAGACAGCTGTGACATTTTTTGGTCAAAAAGTGCTCTGTGCAGCCAACGACAGAACGGTTTGAGTGCTTTGCTCAAACTTTTGCCATTGCGTTAGAACTGGTTTAGAACTCTCATCTCGTGGCGCTTTGCAGACTCTGCTGTGTGAGTTCATGTGTTTTGAAGGAGGTGTGGCTTTGGAGACACTCTGAAGAGGGGGTGGGATCTCACGCTTTCAAAGCTAGCCTGCCATTGCTAGCCTCTCCGCAATTGCCTACCCTACCTTTAAGCAAAACGTAAAATAGTTACGAATTGCTGTGAGATTGTCCAGAAGTTAAAAATATGTATGAATTTAACAAAGATTTAATGTAACTCAAGTGCTTAACTCCATTAATGAGAGGGGCCCATTTTGTGTGAAGATGAAAACGAAGGTCTTTCGTTACAAGACCTCTTGCACGTGTTTGGGTCTTGGTGAGGTGATTTTTTACTTTCCTAAAGCACTAATGCCAATGAACCATTATGTGAGAACAGCCAAATGAACACTGGCATACCAAAAACACCAACTCTACAATCAAGCAATTTTCTTTGTTTTTCCACAGACACAAAGAAAGAAGTCTTACCAAAGTGTGAGATTTATTTGGTGATAAACAGGGAAGACATCCCATACATTCAATGGTTAAATCAGCACACTTAACTTTATGCATGGCCACATTCTCTAAGACCCCCCATAAGGTGATGAGGACCCCCCCATATGGCCAGAACATTTGCCATCAGGGCGAGTTTGGTGACAGTTTTCAGCACACACTGCAGGCTTCACTGGAGGCTTGGGCTGTTCGGACGCAGGCTTCACTGGAGGCTTGGGCTGTTCGGACGCTGGCTTCACTGGAGGCTTGGGCTGTTCGGACGCCGGCTTCACTGGAGGCTTGGGCTGTCCGCCGGCAGGCTTCACTGGAGGCTTGGGCTGTTCGGACGCAGGCTTCACTGGAGGCTTGGGCTGTTCGCCGGCAGGCTTCACTGGAGGCTTGGGCTGTTCGGACGCAGGCTTCACTGGAGGCTTGGACGGATCAGACCCAGGCTTCACTGGAGGCTTGGGCGGTTCAGACGCAGGCTTCACTGGAGGCTTGGGCAGTTCGGCTGCAGGAGTCACTGGAGGATTCGGCAGTTCAGCTGCAGGAGTCAGCGGTTCGGCTGCAGGCGTCACTGGAGGATTCGGCGGCAGTTCGGCTGCAGGCGTCACTGGAGGATTCGGCAGTTCGGCTGGAGGCGTCACTGGAGGATTCGGCAGTTCGGCTGGAGGCGTCACTGGAGGATTCGGCAGTTCGGCTGCAGGCGTCACTGGAGGATTCGGCAGTTCGGCTGGAGGCGTCACTGGAGGATTCGGCAGCTCGGCTGGAGGCGTCGGCGGTTCGGCTGTAGCCTTCACTGCATGGATACAGATAATCCGCTTTAGTCAGTCCGTTTAGCGGAATCCAGTCTCAGATTTAGAGCATAAAACACAAATTGCAAGTTTCTTATTTTAAGTATTAATCGTAATCTATTAGTATTGTAAAGCCATCCGGTGCTTGTTCAGCTGAATACTTTTGACACAGAGAACGGTAAAGTAATTAAATCAAACAAGACAAACTGAAATCACGAGAAAGCCGACCCAAACACTAATATAATAACATATCAAATACCTATATATGGAGCCATACACTGATGTCCACATCCATTGCTGCAGCATTTCTCATTGTTCGGACAGTCACTGTCATAGTAACACAACTCGGCACACATTCCTGCTCCAGACTTTGTGCTTGGACACTCCCCTGGCTTTGCTGTTATACAGACACATGACAGAGAAACCACATCACTGAATACTGAATGTCTCATTCACCGCTTAAAAAATAAAGTTGTCAAAGATGATCGGAGTAGTTTTTACAGGAATATTCAGTCTTTCTACTTGGTAGTTTCATGTTTAGTTCAATGTGTTACTTGCGGTTTCTTTGCAATTGTGAAATGTACTTGCAATTTCTGAGTGAAAACTTGTTTATACACCATTTTTTTCAGTGAAGATCTATAGCATCCATCATTAAACTCACTGAAAACAGGCGGCACGCACACAGCCCCACAGGGAAATTGACAGCATTTGTGTCCTCCAGAGCAGTCTCGATCACAAAGACATCCTCGACGGGACGGCACGACGGTCAGCTTCGCCGGACACTGACCGGACACTACAGAAGAGGATTCAAGAGGATAGTTAGGGGAGACCAGGAAGTGCTTTAATAGCTTGTTTCAGCATTTGCAGAACAGGGGTTTTGCAATATGTGCCTCAAACTTTAATAATATTCACATTTATCAGCTTCAAATCAAAGTAGCTTAGACATCTACCATTTATCACTAAACTGCGTCAATTAGTTTCAAAGACTGAGAGTGCCGTTACAACCTATAGTAGGGCGAGTAATAGTACAATGCTGATAGAAAACATGATGCACATCAGTAAATAGGTTGTTGTAACTAAGTGTACTTCAAAAATGGTTATGCCATCCCTAATTCCAAGCATTTTAATAGGCTACACAACACAAAAGTTATAGCTCCCCGTGTTATAGGCTATTGAAGGCATAAATAGTTGTTAAAATAGGGAAAACAAAACATGAAGCAGAAGTTTAAATTCAGGATTGATGTCTATGTGGTAACAACTGCGTAAGCATATAGCATGTTCTTGATTTACAGCAAACAAAAAAATACTATACATTAGAGATTGGATGGGTTTTACTTGTACAATGAAATAAATATGCATAAACTTATGACAGTTTTGCATATTTATACCTTGCTTATTATTGAAACTAAACCACCGTACAAAGTTAAACTTCCACTGGACGTCTGTACTGTACTTTTGTAAACCAATGTGCTGAGATGGGTCCAAGTCATATTTTGTAAGGCACGTTCTTCGGGCTGTGTAATAAACTAAAAGATCTTCTCACCTACGACTCCAGCGTCTGTTGTGCTCAAACATGCAGACAGACACAATAAAACAGCACTAAATGAGCAGTACACTCGAGCTGTCATCCTCACGACCTGCGATCTCACAATCAACTCTGCTAGAAGATGGGCTGAATTAGTGAGTCAGGAGGGGCAGGCAGGGAGAAACACAAACTACAATGAAAAACCGTGCCGCTGCATCAAAATATCTGCTGAATCCCACAACAAACGCTGTAAAAAAACAAGTTGGGTTTTAAAGATCTTCTTGAAAAAAACGCGTTTTTAAAGATCCAAGGAGGTCTAGGTAACTCCAACCCTGATGATTCTCACCTGCCTGCAGCTTTCTAGTAGCCTAATCTCGAAGACCTTGATTAGCTTGTTCAGGTGTTTGATTAGGATTGGATGTCGTAATAATTAAAGTAATTAGGAGATGATTGAGCGTTTGCCAAAAGAATCTGCAGTGGTCAGGTGGTACAGCGATCAAGTGGTACCAGTCGGAGTAGTAGGCTAGCACAAGTTTTAACCGTAATCAAAAAAAATCCGTTTGAATGTCCACTGCGATATCTTGTCCTTTTAACAGTTAATGGGTTTTCCAGTGCCCTGACACACTAGTCAATTTCCAGTTGCATCTTGCTTCTCCGTGTTCACAAGTTTCAGTCCTTTTAATATAAAAGTCTTCTCTACTGACTGACTCACTCATAAAGACAGTCTTTGCCACCATCTAATGGTGAAATAGTAACTTCTGTTGCTGTTCACGGTCAGGGACTATTTTTTCCAGCTGAAGGAAGCCTTTGTGATTTTACTTCATGAAAGTTGCATTGATACATATTTTTTTGGCTTTAATTGTTGCATCGTGTGGTAACTCCGCTTCGCGTCGTGCCTAACAACACCCTTTAGCCGTGACTTATTTACGATACAGCACAGCCTCTCGTACCTTATTGCTTACATGTTATGTGCTTTGAGACATGAGGTAAATTAAAGGTGACATATTATGCCCCTTTTCACAAGATGTAATATCTATGGTGTCCTCAGAATGTGTCTGTGAAATTACAGCTCAAAATACAACCCAGATCATTTATTATAGCTTGTCAAAGTTGCCCCTTTTTGGGTGTGAGCAAAAACGCACCATTTTTGTGTGTGTGTCCATTTAAATGCAAATGAGCTGCTGCTCCCCAGCTTCGGATACTCCGTCAATAACAAAACACGCGAATTTCAGACAAATTTCAGAAATAAGTAGCGGAGGGCAGCCTTACGGAGAGACTCAGGAAGAGGTTGCAACTTTTAGACTTAACCTGGACATTTGTGACCCGTCACGGAAACCAGGGACACAAGTCGGCAGCACAACTTGCGAGCAAAATGAGAAAGAAGCGTTTTTTTCCAAAATTGGTGATTTCCGCTTTTTTGCAGAATCTGTTAGTTGAGATCATGAAGAAGCCTCTACATGTTTGAGATAACAGTATTGGTATATTTAAAAGCGTACATTTTGAGGTTGAAATCGGCTTGTTTTTCGGAGATTCTAGCATGCAGTAGGGGCGTGTCATTGTCTGTGTGTATTTCCATACTGAATAGCCGCCGGCGCTTTTGCCCCCGCCCCCCAACAGCGTGGCTACTTAATATGCAGCGCTCTGGCCGGCTCTATCTGATATCAAAATTCAATGAAGATGGACGCCGCAAAGATTGTCGCAGACGAGCTGAAGCGTGGCAGTTACACCGAAAATGTTTTCGCCGCACTTTGTGGGCTCGGGAAACTGAACCGGAGGTATGGGCGCGGCGCGCGCGCCCTCGGTGCTTGAATACGGCGGCTCGGCTCGCTGACAGCGGTGGCTAACTGTTTCATATGTGATGTCCCGATTGCTTTGAATGGGGAACGTTTTGTGAACAGGGAACAGACTTAATGGACTGGCAACAATCTCCATAGAACATGAACTGGCACAGAGAATCGAAATAGAGGATGCAGTTAAGACCTTTGCTGCGATGAAGGCCTGCCGTGCGCGTTTCTGAAACGTAAGTTAAGCTTCATTTGCTCTCTAGTCGTTATTTAAGATGCTGAACCTGCTGATGATATAATGTGCTTGCGGACATTTCATTTGTGTGTGTATACGCACATAAGAAAGTGGTGTAAAGAGATTTGCAACAGTAATCTGAGGAGGAAATATGATTATTTGGAAAATTCCTGTCATGACTGCTTAAAGAAAAATGCCAGCAGGCATTTACCTCCTGCATAAACTTTAATATTGTTGACATTTTGGGCACACTCGCGTTGCGCACTATTTGCGTTATATGTAGGCCTATGGCTTATTGGTCTTTGTGTGTTGTTGCTGGTTTTGCGTTATATGTATATGGCATATTGGTCTTTGTGTGTTGTTGCTGGTAAACGTTGCAAATAGAGGGGCAGCACAATTGTTTTTCGCCTAGAGCGGCAGAAGTGCATTCGCCGGTCCTGGGGGTGAGTTTGCATTAAGCATTAAAGTTTGTCGTTTTGTTTTAATTCTAAGAACACGTACATGTTATCTCATGTTTAGTCTGTTTAGACCTTCCCATACCTACCTATTGTTATTAGCTAGCTCAGGAAAGAAAAAAAAGCTGTAAAGCACAGGGGGAGCTTTACAGGGGGTATGGCTTATCTAAATGAGATGTAAATGAGCCCTATTGTCACTCCCAGCAGGAGAGAGAGGTGAGAATGCACAATCTTTTGAGGCCGTTTTCTCCCATTTTACCTTTTTTGAGTTCCTACCTTCAAATGGCCACAACTTCTCCAAATATTATCAGATTTCCACGTGTTACACATCGTTGGAAAGCTTGGAGACTACACTTTCAGAATCTATGAATAACTCAAAATGCCGAAGAACCGACTTGTGTCCCTAGTTTCCGTGATCGGTCACATTTCTGAATGGTTAGTGGATACAGTTATGTAGTTGTTGTGGAGTTATATTGATTCACCTCATCAACTTGCATGTGCCGTCATGTTTAACTTTTACACAAGTTGACAGTTCCCCGAGCTCTTTATAAGACAGCTGTGACATTTTTTGGTCAAATAGTGCTCTGTGCAGCCAACGACAGAACGGTTTGAGTGCTTTGCTCGAACTTTTGCCATTGCGTTAGAACTGGTTTAGAACTCTCATCTCGTGGCGCTTTGCAGACTCTGCTGTGTGAGTTAATGTGTTTTGAAGGAGGTGTGGCTTTGGAAACACTCTGAAGAGGGGGTGGGATCTCACGCTTTCAAAGCTAGCCTGCCATTGCTAGCCTCTCCGCAATTGCCTACCCTACCTTTAAGCAAAACGTAAAATAGTTACAAATTGCTGTGAGATTGTCCAGAAGTTAAAAATATGTATGAATTTAACAAAGATTTAATGTAACTCAAGTGCTTAACTCCATTAATGAGAGGGGCCCATTTTGTGTGAAGATGAAAACAGAGGTCTTTCGTTACAAGACCTCTTGCACGTGTTTGGGTCTTGGTGAGGTGATTTTTACTTTCCTAAAGCACTAATGCCAATGAACCATTATGTGAGAACAGCCAAATGAACACTGGCATACCAAAAACACCAACTCTACAATCAAGCAATTTTCTTTGTTTTTCCACAGACACAAAGAAAGAAGTCTTACCAAAGTGTGAGATTTATTTGGTGATAAACAGGGAAGACATCCCATACATTCAATGGTTAAATCAGCACACTTAACTTTATGCATGGCCACATTCTCTAAGACCCCCCATAAGGTGATGAGGACCCCCCCATATGGCCAGAACATTTGCCATCAGGGCGAGTTTGGTGACAGTTTTCAGCACACACTGCAGGCTTCACTGGAGGCTTGGGCTGTTCGGACGCCGGCTTCACTGGAGGCTTGGGCTGTTCGGACGCCGGCTTCACTGGAGGCTTGGGCTGTTCGGACGCCGGCTTCACTGGAGGCTTGGGCTGTTCGGACGCCGGCTTCACTGGAGGCTTGGGCTGTTCGGACGCCGGCTTCACTGGAGGCTTGGGCTGTTCGGACGCCGGCTTCACTGGAGGCTTGGGCTGTTCGGACGCCGGCTTCACTGGAGGCTTGGGCTGTTCGGACGCCGGCTTCACTGGAGGCTTGGGCTGTTCGGACGCCGGCTTCACTGGAGGCTTGGGCTGTTCGGACGCCGGCTTCACTGGAGGCTTGGGCTGTTCGGACGCCGGCTTCACTGGAGGCTTGGGCTGTTCGGACGCCGGCTTCACTGGAGGCTTGGGCTGTTCGGACGCCGGCTTCACTGGAGGCTTGGGCTGTTCGGACGCCGGCTTCACTGGAGGCTTGGGCTGTTCGGACGCCGGCTTCACTGGAGGCTTGGGCTGTTCGGACGCCGGCTTCACTGGAGGCTTGGGCTGTTCGCCGGCAGGCTTCACGGGAGGCTTGGGCTGTTCCCCAGCAGGCTTCACGGGAGGCTTGGGCTGTTCGCCGGCAGGCTTCACGGGAGGTTTGGGCTGTTCGGACGCAGGCTTCACTGGAGGCTTGGGCTGTTCACCGGCAGGCTTCACGGGAGGTTTGGGCTGTTCGCCGGCAGGCTTCACTGGAGGCTTGGGCTGTTCGCCGGCAGGCTTCACGGGAGGTTTGGGCTGTTCGCCGGCAGGCTTCACGGGAGGTTTGGGCGGTTCGCCGGCAGGCTTCACGGGAGACTTGGGCGGTTCGCCTGCAGGCTTCACTGGAGGCTTGGGCTGTTCGCCGGCAGGCTTCAATGGAGGCTTGGGCTGTTCGCCGGCAGGCTTCACTGGAGGCTTGGGCTGTTCGGACGCAGGCTTTACTGGAGGCTTGGACGGATCAGACCCAGGCTTCACTGGAGGATTCGGCAGTTCAGCTGCAGGAGTCAGCGGTTCGGCTGCAGGCGTCACTGGAGGATTCGGCGGCAGTTCGGCTGCAGGCGTCACTGGAGGATTCGGCAGTTCGGCTGGAGGCGTCACTGGAGGATTCGGCAGTTCGGCTGCAGGCGTCACTGGAGGATTCGGCAGTTCGGCTGGAGGCGTCACTGGAGGATTCGGCAGCTCGGCTGGAGGCGTCGGCGGTTCGGCTGTAGCCTTCACTGCATGGATACAGATAATCCGCTTTAGTCAGTCCGTTTAGCGGAATCCAGTCTCAGATTTAGAGCATAAAACACAAATTGCAAGTTTCTTATTTTAAGTATTAATCGTAATCTATTAGTATTGTAAAGCCATCCGGTGCTTGTTCAGCTGAATACTTTTGACACAGAGAACGGTAAAGTAATTAAATCAAACAAGACAAACTGAAATCACGAGAAAGCCGACCCAAACACTAATATAATAACATATCAAATACCTATATATGGAGCCATACACTGATGTCCACATCCATTGCTGCAGCATTTCTCATTGTTCGGACAGTCACTGTCATAGTAACACAACTCGGCACACATTCCTGCTCCAGACTTTGTGCTTGGACACTCCCCTGGCTTTGCTGTTAAACAGACACATGACAGAGAAACCACATCACTGAATACTGAATGTCTCATTCACCACTTAAAAAATAAAGTTGTCAAAGATGATCGGAGTAGTTTTTACAGGAATATTCAGTCTTTCTACTTGGTAGTTTCATGTTTAGTTCAATGTGTTACTTGCGGTTTCTTTGCAATTGTGAAATGTACTTGCAATTTCTGAGTGAAAACTTGTTTATACACCATTTTTTTCAGTGAAGATCTATAGCATCCATCATTAAACTCACTGAAAACAGGCGGCACGCAAACAGACCCACAGGGAAATTGACAGCATTTGTGTCCTCCAGAGCAGTCTCGATCACAAAGACATCCTCGACGGGACGGCACGACGGTCAGCTTCGCCGGACACTGACCAGACACTACAGAAGAGGATTCAAGAGGATAGTTAGGGGAGACCAGGAAGTGCTTTAATAGCTTGTTTCAGCATTTGCAGAACAGGGGTTTTGCAATATGTGCCTCAAACTTTAATAATATTCACATTTATCAGCTTCAAATCAAAGTAGCTTAGACATCTACCATTTATCACTAAACTGCGTCAATTAGTTTCAAAGACTGAGAGTGCCGTTACAACCTATAGTAGGGCGAGTAATAGTACAATGCTGATAGAAAACATGATGCACATCAGTTAATAGGTTGTTGTAACTAAGTGGACTTCAAAAATGGTTATGCCATCCCTAATTCCAAGCATTTTAATAAGCTACACAACACAAAAGTTATAGCTCCCCGTGTTATAGGCTATTGAAGGCATAAATAGTTGTTAAAATAGGGAAAACAAAACATGAAGCAGAAGCGTAAATTCAGGATTGATGTCTATGTGGTAACAACTGCGTAAGCATATAGCATGTTCTTGATTTACAGCAAACAAAAAAATACTATACATTAGAGATTGGATGGGTTTTACTTGTACAATGAAATAAATATGCATAAACTTATGACAGTTTTGCATATTTATACCTTGCTTATTATTGAAACTAAACCACCGTACAAAGTTAAACTTCCACTGGACGTCTGTACTGTACTTTTGTAAACCAATGTGCTGAGATGGGTCCAAGTCATATTTTGTAAGGCACGTTCTTCGGGCTGTGTAATAAACTAAAAGATCTTCTCACCTACGACTCCAGCGTCTGTTGTGCTCAAACATGCAGACAGACACAATAAAACAGCACTAAATGAGCAGTACACTCGAGCTGTCATCCTCACGACCTGCGATCTCACAATCAACTCTGCTAGAAGATGGGCTGAATTAGTGAGTCAGGAGGGGCAGGCAGGGAGAAACACAAACTACAATGAAAAACCGTGCCGCTGCATCAAAATATCTGCTGAATCCCACAACAAATGCTGTAAAAAAAAAGTTGGGTTTTAAAGATCTTCTTGAAAAAAACGCGTTTTTAAAGATCCAAGGAGGTCTAGGTAACTCCAACCCTGATGATTCTCACCTGCCTGCAGCTTTCTAGTAGCCTAATCTCGAAGACCTTGATTAGCTTGTTCAGGTGTTTGATTAGGATTGGATGTCGTAATAATTAAAGTAATTAGGAGATGATTGAGCGTTTGCCAAAAGAATCTGCAGTGGTCAGGTGGTACAGCGATCAAGTGGTACCAGTCGGAGTAGTAGGCTAGCACAAGTTTTAACCGTAATCAAAAAAAATCCGTTTGAATGTCCACTGCGATATCTTGTCCTTTTAACAGTTAATGGGTTTTCCAGTGCCCTGACACACTAGTCAATTTCCAGTTGCATCTTGCTTCTCCGTGTTCACAAGTTTCAGTCCTTTCAATATAAAAGTCTTCTCTACTGACTGACTCACTCATAAAGACAGTCTTTGCCACCATCTAATGGTGAAATAGTAACTTCTGTTGCTGTTCACGGTCAGGGACTATTTTTTCCAGCTGAAGGAAGCCTTTGTGATTTTACTTCATGAAAGTTGCATTGATACATATTTTTTTGGCTTTAATTGTTGCATCGTGTGGTAACTCCGCTTCGCGCCTAACAACACCCTTTAGCCAGGGGCGTAATTTGTGGGGGGGATGGGGGGGATATAACCCCCCCAATATTTAAATCTATGCATTACAACCCCCCCATTATTTATACCATGATCACAATATCAGGAGGCATACCCAAACTTCAACCCCCCCAATGTTCAAACCAAATCTACGCCCTTGCCTTTAGCCGTGACTTATTTACGATACAGCACAGCCTCTCGTACCTTATTGCTTACATGTTATGTGCTTTGAGACATGAGGTAAATTAAAGGTGACATATTTTGCCCCTTTTCACAAGATGTAATATCTATGGTGTCCTCAGAATGTGTCTGTGAAATTACAGCTCAAAATACAACCCAGATTATTTATTATAGCTTGTCAAAGTTGCCCCTTTTTGGGTGTGAGCAAAAACGCACCATTTTTGTGTGTGTCCATTTAAATGCAAATGAGCTGCTGCTCCCCAGCTTCGGATACTCCGTCAATAACAAAACACGCGAATTTCAGACAAATTTCAGAAATAAGTAGCGGAGGGCAGCCTTACGGAGAGACTCAGGAAGAGGTTGCAACTTTTAGACTTAACCTGGACATTTCTGAATGGTTAGTGGATACAGTTATGTAGTTGTTGTGGAGTTATATTGATTCACCTCATCAACTTGCATGTGCCGTCATGTTTAACTTTTACACAAGTTGACAGTTCCCCGAGCTCTTTATAAGACAGCTGTGACATTTTTTGGTCAAATAGTGCTCTGTGCAGCCAACGACAGAACGGTTTGAGTGCTTTGCTCGAACTTTTGCCATTGCGTTAGAACTGGTTTAGAACTCTCATCTCGTGGCGCTTTGCAGACTCTGCTGTGTGAGTTCATGTGTTTTGAAGGAGGTGTGGCTTTGGAAACACTCTGAAGAGGGGGTGGGATCTCACGCTTTCAAAGCTAGCCTGCCATTGCTAGCCTCTCCGCAATTGCCTACCCTACCTTTAAGCAAAACGTAAAATAGTTACGAATTGCTGTGAGATTGTCCAGAAGTTAAAAATATGTATGAATTTAACAAAGATTTAATGTAACTCAAGTGCTTAACTCCATTAATGAGAGGGGCCCATTTTGTGTGAAGATGAAAACAGAGGTCTTTCGTTACAAGACCTCTTGCACGTGTTTGGGTCTTGGTGAGGTGATTTTTTACTTTCCTAAAGCACTAATGCCAATGAACCATTATGTGAGAACAGCCAAATGAACACTGGCATACCAAAAACACCAACTCTACAATCAAGCAATTTTCTTTGTTTTTCCACAGAAACAAAGAAAGAAGTCTTACCAAAGTGTGAGATTTATTTGGTGATAAACAGGGAAGACATCCCATACATTCAATGGTTAAATCAGCACACTTAACTTTATGCATGGCCACATTCTCTAAGACCCCCCATAAGGTGATGAGGACCCCCCCATATGGCCAGAACATTTGCCATCAGGGCGAGTTTGGTGACAGTTTTCAGCACACACTGCAGGCTTCACTGGAGGCTTGGGCTGTTCGGACGCTGGCTTCACTGGAGGCTTGGGCTGTTCGGACGCCGGCTTCACTGGAGGCTTGGGCTGTTCGGACGCCGGCTTCACTGGAGGCTTGGGCTGTTCGGACGCCGGCTTCACTGGAGGCTTGGGCTGTTCGGACGCCGGCTTCACTGGAGGCTTGGGCTGTTCGGACGCCGGCTTCACTGGAGGCTTGGGCTGTTCGGACGCCGGCTTCACTGGAGGCTTGGGCTGTTCGGACGCCGGCTTCACTGGAGGCTTGGGCTGTTCGGACGCAGGCTTCACTGGAGGCTTGGGCTGTTCGGACGCAGGCTTCACTGGAGGCTTGGGCTGTTCGGACGCAGGCTTCACTGGAGGCTTGGGCTGTTCGCCGGCAGGCTTCACTGGAGGCTTGGGCTGTTCGGACGCAGGCTTCACTGGAGGCTTGGGCTGTTCGGACGCAGGCTTCACTGGAGGCTTGGGCTGTTCGCCGGCAGGCTTCACTGGAGGCTTGGGCTGTTCGCCGGCAGGCTTCACGGGAGGTTTGGGCTGTTCGCCGACAGGCTTCACGGGAGGTTTGGGCTGTTCGCCGGCAGGCTTCACTGGAGGCTTGGGCTGTTCGCCGGCAGGCTTCACGGGAGACTTGGGCGGTTCGCCGGCAGGCTTCACTGGAGGCTTGGGCTGTCCGCCGGCAGGCTTCACTGGAGGCTTGGGCTGTTCGGACGCAGGCTTCACTGGAGGCTTGGACGGATCAGACCCAGGCTTCACTGGAGGCTTGGGCGGTTCAGACGCAGGCTTCACTGGAGGCTTGGGCGGTTCGGCTGCAGGAGTCACTGGAGGATTCGGCAGTTCAGCTGCAGGAGTCAGCGGTTCGGCTGCAGGCGTCACTGGAGGATTCGGCGGCAGTTCGGCTGCAGGCGTCACTGGAGGATTCGGCAGTTCGGCTGGAGGCGTCACTGGAGGATTCGGCAGTTCGGCTGCAGGCGTCACTGGAGGATTCGGCAGTTCGGCTGGAGGCGTCACTGGAGGATTCGGCAGCTCGGCTGGAGGCGTCGGCGGTTCGGCTGTAGCCTTCACTGCATGGATACAGATAATCCGCTTTAGTCAGTCCGTTTAGCGGAATCCAGTCTCAGATTTAGAGCATAAAACACAAATTGCAAGTTTCTTATTTTAAGTATTAATCGTAATCTATTAGTATTGTAAAGCCATCCGGTGCTTGTTCAGCTGAATACTTTTGACACAGAGAACGGTAAAGTAATTAAATCAAACAAGACAAACTGAAATTACGAGAAAGCCGACCCAAACACTAATATAATAACATATCAAATACCTATATATGGAGCCATACACTGATGTCCACATCCATTGCTGCAGCATTTCTCATTGTTCGGACAGTCACTGTCATAGTAACACAACTCGGCACACATTCCTGCTCCAGACTTTGTGCTTGGACACTCCCCTGGCTTTGCTGTTATACAGACACATGACAGAGAAACCACATCACTGAATACTGAATGTCTCATTCACCGCTTAAAAAATAAAGTTGTCAAAGATGATCGGAGTAGTTTTTACAGGAATATTCAGTCTTTCTACTTGGTAGTTTCATGTTTAGTTCAATGTGTTACTTGCGGTTTCTTTGCAATTGTGAAATGTACTTGCAATTTCTGAGTGAAAACTTGTTTATACACCATTTTTTTCAGTGAAGATCTATAGCATCCATCATTAAACTCACTGAAAACAGGCGGCACGCACACAGCCCCACAGGGAAATTGACAGCATTTGTGTCCTCCAGAGCAGTCTCGATCACAAAGACATCCTCGACGGGACGGCACGACGGTCAGCTTCGCCGGACACTGACCGGACACTACAGAAGAGGATTCAAGAGGATAGTTAGGGAAGACCAGGAAGTGCTTTAATAGCTTGTTTCAGCATTTGCAGAACAGGGGTTTTGCAATATGTGCCTCAAACTTTAAGAATATTCACATTTATCAGCTTCAAATCAAAGTAGCTTAGACATCTACCATTTATCACTAAACTGCGTCAATTAGTTTCAAAGACTGAGAGTGCCGTTACAACCTATAGTAGGGCGAGTAATAGTACAATGCTGATAGAAAACATGATGCACATCAGTAAATAGGTTGTTGTAACTAAGTGTACTTCAAAAATTGTTATGCCATCCCTAATTCCAAGCATTTTAATAGGCTACACAACACAAAAGTTATAGCTCCCCGTGTTATAGGCTATTGAAGGCATAAATAGTTGTTAAAATAGGGAAAACAAAACATGAAGCAGAAGTTTAAATTCAGGATTGATGTCTATGTGGTAACAACTGCGTAAACATATAGCATGTTCTTGATTTACAGCAAACAAAAAAATACTATACATTAGAGATTGGATGGGTTTTACTTGTACAATGAAATAAATATGCATAAACTTATGACAGTTTTGCATATTTATACCTTGCTTATTATTGAAACTAAACCACCGTACAAAGTTAAACTTCCACTGGACGTCTGTACTGTACTTTTGTAAACCAATGTGCTGAGATGGGTCCAAGTCATATTTTGTAAGGCACGTTCTTCGGGCTGTGTAATAAACTAAAAGATCTTCTCACCTACGACTCCAGCGTCTGTTGTGCTCAAACATGCAGACAGACACAATAAAACAGCACTAAATGAGCAGTACACTCGAGCTGTCATCCTCACGACCTGCGATCTCACAATCAACTCTGCTAGAAGATGGGCTGAATTAGTGAGTCAGGAGGGGCAGGCAGGGAGAAACACAAACTACAATGAAAAACCGTGCCGCTGCATCAAAATATCTGCTGAATCCCACAACAAACGCTGTAAAAAAAAAAGTGGGGTTTTAAAGATCTTCTTGAAAAAAACGCGTTTTTAAAGATCCAAGGAGGTCTAGGTAACTCCAACCCTGATGATTCTCACCTGCCTGCAGCTTTCTAGTAGCCTAATCTCGAAGACCTTGATTAGCTTGTTCAGGTGTTTGATTAGGATTGGATGTCGTAATAATTAAAGTAATTAGGAGATGATTGAGCGTTTGCCAAAAGAATCTGCAGTGGTCAGGTGGTACAGCGATCAAGTGGTACCAGTCGGAGTAGTAGGCTAGCACAAGTTTTAACCGTAATCAAAAAAAATCCGTTTGAATGTCCACTGCGATATCTTGTCCTTTTAACAGTTAATGGGTTTTCCAGTGCCCTGACACACTAGTCAATTTCCAGTTGCATCTTGCTTCTCCGTGTTCACAAGTTTCAGTCCTTTCAATATAAAAGTCTTCTCTACTGACTGACTCACTCATAAAGACAGTCTTTGCCACCATCTAATGGTGAAATAGTAACTTCTGTTGCTGTTCACGGTCAGGGACTATTTTTTCCAGCTGAAGGAAGCCTTTGTGATTTTACTTCATGAAAGTTGCATTGATACATATTTTTTTGGCTTTAATTGTTGCATCGTGTGGTAACTCCGCTTCGCTTCGTGCCTAACAACACCCTTTAGCCGTGACTTATTTACGATACAGCACAGCCTCTCGTACCTTATTGCTTACATGTTATGTGCTTTGAGACATGAGGTAAATTAAAGGTGACATATTATGCCCCTTTTCACAAGATGTAATATCTATGGTGTCCTCAGAATGTGTCTGTGAAATTACAGCTCAAAATACAACCCAGATCATTTATTATAGCTTGTCAAAGTTGCCCCTTTTTGGGTGTGAGCAAAAACGCACCATTTTTGTGTGTGTGTCCATTTAAATGCAAATGAGCTGCTGCTCCCCAGCTTCGGATACTCCGTCAATAACAAAACACGCGAATTTCAGACAAATTTCAGAAATAAGTAGCGGAGGGCAGCCTTACGGAGAGACTCAGGAAGAGGTTGCAACTTTTAGACTTAACCTGGACATTTCTGAATGGTTAGTGGATACAGTTATGTAGTTGTTGTGGAGTTATATTGATTCACCTCATCAACTTGCATGTGCCGTCATGTTTAACTTTTACACAAGTTGACAGTTCCCCGAGCTCTTTATAAGACAGCTGTGACATTTTTTGGTCAAATAGTGCTCTGTGCAGCCAACGACAGAACGGTTTGAGTGCTTTGCTCGAACTTTTGCCATTGCGTTAGAACTGGTTTAGAACTCTCATCTCGTGGCGCTTTGCAGACTCTGCTGTGTGAGTTCATGTGTTTTGAAGGAGGTGTGGCTTTGGAAACACTCTGAAGAGGGGGTGGGATCTCACGCTTTCAAAGCTAGCCTGCCATTGCTAGCCTCTCCGCAATTGCCTACCCTACCTTTAAGCAAAACGTAAAATAGTTACGAATTGCTGTGAGATTGTCCAGAAGTTAAAAATATGTATGAATTTAACAAAGATTTAATGTAACTCAAGTGCTTAACTCCATTAATGAGAGGGGCCCATTTTGTGTGAAGATGAAAACAGAGGTCTTTCGTTACAAGACCTCTTGCACGTGTTTGGGTCTTGGTGAGGTGATTTTTACTTTCCTAAAGCACTAATGCCAATGAACCATTATGTGAGAACAGCCAAATGAACACTGGCATACCAAAAACACCAACTCTACAATCAAGCAATTTTCTTTGTTTTTCCACAGAAACAAAGAAAGAAGTCTTACCAAAGTGTGAGATTTATTTGGTGATAAACAGGGAAGACATCCCATACATTCAATGGTTAAATCAGCACACTTAACTTTATGCATGGCCACATTCTCTAAGACCCCCCATAAGGTGATGAGGACCCCCCCATTTGGCCAGAACATTTGCCATCAGGGCGAGTTTGGTGACAGTTTTCAGCACACACTGCAGGCTTCACTGGAGGCTTGGGCTGTTCGGACGCTGGCTTCACTGGAGGCTTGGGCTGTTCGGACGCTGGCTTCACTGGAGGCTTGGGCTGTTCGGACGCCGGCTTCACTGGAGGCTTGGGCTGTTCGGACGCCGGCTTCACTGGAGGCTTGGGCTGTTCGGACGCCGGCTTCACTGGAGGCTTGGGCTGTTCGGACGCCGGCTTCACTGGAGGCTTGGGCTGTTCGGACGCCGGCTTCACTGGAGGGTTGGGCTGTTCGGACGCCGGCTTCACTGGAGGCTTGGGCTGTTCGGACGCCGGCTTCACTGGAGGCTTGGGCTGTTCGGACGCCGGCTTCACTGGAGGCTTGGGCTGTTCGGACGCCGGCTTCACTGGAGGCTTGGGCTGTTCGGACGCAGGCTTCACTGGAGGCTTGGGCTGTTCGGACGCAGGCTTCACTGGAGGCTTGGGCTGTTCGGACGCAGGCTTCACTGGAGGCTTGGGCTGTTCGCCGGCAGGCTTCACTGGAGGCTTGGGCTGTTCGCCGGCAGGCTTCACGGGAGGTTTGGGCTGTTCGCCGACAGGCTTCACGGGAGGTTTGGGCTGTTCGCCGGCAGGCTTCACTGGAGGCTTGGGCTGTTCGCCGGCAGGCTTCACGGGAGACTTGGGCGGTTCGCCGGCAGGCTTCACTGGAGGCTTGGGCTGTTCGCCGGCAGGCTTCAATGGAGGCTTGGGCTGTCCGCCGGCAGGCTTCAATGGAGGCTTGGGCTGTTCGGACGCAGGCTTCACTGGAGGCTTGGGCTGTTCGCCGGCAGGCTTCAATGGAGGCTTGGGCTGTCCGCCGGCAGGCTTCACTGGAGGCTTGGGCTGTTCGGACGCAGGCTTCACTGGAGGCTTGGGCGGTTCAGACGCAGGCTTCACTGGAGGCTTGGGCAGTTCGGCTGCAGGAGTCACTGGAGGATTCGGCAGTTCAGCTGCAGGAGTCAGCGGTTCGGCTGCAGGCGTCACTGGAGGATTCGGCGGCAGTTCGGCTGCAGACGTCACTGGAGGATTCGGCAGCTCGGCTGGAGGCGTCACTGGAGGATTCGGCAGTTCGGCTGGAGGCGTCACTGGAGGATTCGGCAGTTCGGCTGCAGGCGTCACTGGAGGATTCGGCAGTTCGGCTGCAGGCGTCACTGGAGGATTCGGCAGCTCGGCTGGAGGCGTCGGCGGTTCGGCTGTAGCCTTCACTGCATGGATACAGATAATCCGCTTTAGTCAGTCCGTTTAGCGGAATCCAGTCTCAGATTTAGAGCATAAAACACAAATTGCAAGTTTCTTATTTTAAGTATTAATCGTAATCTATTAGTATTGTAAAGCCATCCGGTGCATGTTCAGCTGAATACTTTTGACACAGAGAACGGTAAAGTAATTAAATCAAACAAGACAAACTGAAATCACGAGAAAGCCGACCCAAACACTAATATAATAACATATCAAATACCTATATATGGAGCCATACACTGATGTCCACATCCATTGCTGCAGCATTTCTCATTGTTCCGACAGTCACTGTCATAGTAACACAACTCGGCACACATTCCTGCTCCAGACTTTGTGCTTGGACACTCCCCTGGCTTTGCTGTTATACAGACACATGACAGAGAAACCACATCACTGAATACTGAATGTCTCATTCACCGCTTAAAAAATAAAGTTGTCAAAGATGATCGGAGTAGTTTTTACAGGAATATTCAGTCTTTCTACTTGGTAGTTTCATGTTTAGTTCAATGTGTTACTTGCGGTTTCTTTGCAATTGTGAAATGTACTTGCAATTTCTGAGTGAAAACTTGTTTATACACCATTTTTTTCAGTGAAGATCTATAGCATCCATCATTAAACTCACTGAAAACAGGCGGCACGCACACAGCCCCACAGGGAAATTGACAGCATTTGTGTCCTCCAGAGCAGTCTCGATCACAAAGACATCCTCGACGGGACGGCACGACGGTCAGCTTCGCCGGACACTGACCGGACACTACAGAAGAGGATTCAAGAGGATAGTTAGGGGAGACCAGGAAGTGCTTTAATAGCTTGTTTCAGCATTTGCAGAACAGGGGTTTTGCAATATGTGCCTCAAACTTTAATAATATTCACATTTATCAGCTTCAAATCAAAGTAGCTTAGACATCTACCATTTATCACTAAACTGCGTCAATTAGTTTCAAAGACTGAGAGTGCCGTTACAACCTATAGTAGGGCGAGTAATAGTACAATGCTGATAGAAAACATGATGCACATCAGTAAATAGGTTGTTGTAACTAAGTGTACTTCAAAAATTGTTATGCCATCCCTAATTCCAAGCATTTTAATAGGCTACACAACACAAAAGTTATAGCTCCCCGTGTTATAGGCTATTGAAGGCATAAATAGTTGTTAAAATAGGGAAAACAAAACATGAAGCAGAAGTTTAAATTCAGGATTGATGTCTATGTGGTAACAACTGCGTAAACATATAGCATGTTCTTGATTTACAGCAAACAAAAAAATACTATACATTAGAGATTGGATGGGTTTTACTTGTACAATGAAATAAATATGCATAAACTTATGACAGTTTTGCATATTTATACCTTGCTTATTATTGAAACTAAACCACCGTACAAAGTTAAACTTCCACTGGACGTCTGTACTGTACTTTTGTAAACCAATGTGCTGAGATGGGTCCAAGTCATATTTTGTAAGGCACGTTCTTCGGGCTGTGTAATAAACTAAAAGATCTTCTCACCTACGACTCCAGCGTCTGTTGTGCTCAAACATGCAGACAGACACAATAAAACAGCACTAAATGAGCAGTACACTCGAGCTGTCATCCTCACGACCTGCGATCTCACAATCAACTCTGCTAGAAGATGGGCTGAATTAGTGAGTCAGGAGGGGCAGGCAGGGAGAAACACAAACTACAATGAAAAACCGTGCCGCTGCATCAAAATATCTGCTGAATCCCACAACAAATGCTGTAAAAAAAAAAGTTGGGTTTTAAAGATCTTCTTGAAAAAAACGCGTTTTTAAAGATCCAAGGAGGTCTAGGTAACTCCAACCCTGATGATTCTCACCTGCCTGCAGCTTTCTAGTAGCCTAATCTCGAAGACCTTGATTAGCTTGTTCAGGTGTTTGATTAGGATTGGATGTCGTAATAATTAAAGTAATTAGGAGATGATTGAGCGTTTGCCAAAAGAATCTGCAGTGGTCAGGTGGTACAGCGATCAAGTGGTACCAGTCAGAGTAGTAGGCTAGCACAAGTTTTAACCGTAATCAAAAAAAATCCGTTTGAATGTCCACTGCGATATCTTGTCCTTTTAACAGTTAATGGGTTTTCCAGTGCCCTGACACACTAGTCAATTTCCAGTTGCATCTTGCTTCTCCGTGTTCACAAGTTTCAGTCCTTTCAATATAAAAGTCTTCTCTACTGACTGACTCACTCATAAAGACAGTCTTTGCCACCATCTAATGGTGAAATAGTAACTTCTGTTGCTGTTCACGGTCAGGGACTATTTTTTCCAGCTGAAGGAAGCCTTTGTGATTTTACTTCATGAAAGTTGCATTGATACATATTTTTTTGGCTTTAATTGTTGCATCGTGTGGTAACTCCGCTTCGCGTCGTGCCTAACAACACCCTTTAGCCGTGACTTATTTACGATACAGCACAGCCTCTCGTACCTTATTGCTTACATGTTATGTGCTTTGAGACATGAGGTAAATTAAAGGTGACAAATTATGCCCCTTTTCACAAGATGTAATATCTATGGTGTCCTCAGAATGTGTCTGTGAAATTACAGCTCAAAATACAACCCAGATCATTTATTATAGCTTGTCAAAGTTGCCCCTTTTTGGGTGTGAGCAAAAACGCACCATTTTTGTGTGTTTGTCCATTTAAATGCAAATGAGCTGCTGCTCCCCAGCTTCGGATACTCCGTCAATAACAAAACACGCGAATTTCACACAAATTTCAGAAATAAGTAGCGGAGGGCAGCCTTACGGAGAGACTCAGGAAGAGGTTGCAACTTTTAGACTTAACCTGGACATTTCTGAATGGTTAGTGGATACAGTTATGTAGTTGTTGTGGAGTTATATTGATTCACCTCATCAACTTGCATGTGCCGTCATGTTTAACTTTTACACAAGTTGACAGTTCCCTGAGCTCTTTATAAGACAGCTGTGACATTTTTTGGTCAAATAGTGCTCTGTGCAGCCAACGACAGAACGGTTTGAGTGCTTTGCTCGAACTTTTGCCATTGCGTTAGAACTGGTTTAGAACTCTCATCTCCTGGCGCTTTGCAGACTCTGCTGTGTGAGTTCATGTGTTTTGAAGGAGGTGTGGCTTTGGAAACACTCTGAAGAGGGGGTGGGATCTCACGCTTTCAAAGCTAGCCTGCCATTGCTAGCCTCTCCGCAATTGCCTACCCTACCTTTAAGCAAAACGTAAAATAGTTACGAATTGCTGTGAGATTGTCCAGAAGTTAAAAATATGTATGAATTTAACAAAGATTTAATGTAACTCAAGTAATTAACTCCATTAATGAGAGGGGCCCATTTTGTGTGAAGATGAAAACAGAGGTCTTTCGTTACAAGACCTCTTGCACGTGTTTGGGTCTTGGTGAGGTGATTTTTACTTTCCTAAAGCACTAATGCCAATGAACCATTATGTGAGAACAGCCAAATGAACACTGGCATACCAAAAACACCAACTCTACAATCAAGCAATTTTCTTTGTTTTTCCACAGAAACAAAGAAAGAAGTCTTACCAAAGTGTGAGATTTATTTGGTGATAAACAGGGAAGACATCCCATACATTCAATGGTTAAATCAGCACACTTAACTTTATGCATGGCCACATTCTCTAAGACCCCCCATAAGGTGATGAGGACCCCCCCATATGGCCAGAACATTTGCCATCAGGGCGAGTTTGGTGACAGTTTTCAGCACACACTGCAGGCTTCACTGGAGGCTTGGGCTGTTCGGACGCCGGCTTCACTGGAGGCTTGGGCTGTTCGGACGCCGGCTTCACTGGAGGCTTGGGCTGTTCGGACGCCGGCTTCACTGGAGGCTTGGGCTGTTCGGACGCCGGCTTCACTGGAGGCTTGGGCTGTTCGGACGCCGGCTTCACTGGAGGCTTGGGCTGTTCGGACGCCGGCTTCACTGGAGGCTTGGGCTGTTCGGACGCCGGCTTCACTGGAGGCTTGGGCTGTTCGGACGCCGGCTTCACTGGAGGCTTGGGCTGTTCGGACGCAGGCTTCACTGGAGGCTTGGGCTGTTCGGACGCAGGCTTCACTGGAGGCTTGGGCTGTTCGGACGCAGGCTTCACTGGAGGCTTGGGCTGTTCGGACGCAGGCTTCACTGGAGGCTTGGGCTGTTCGGACGCAGGCTTCACTGGAGGCTTGGGCTGTTCGGACGCAGGCTTCACTGGAGACTTGGGCTGTTCGCCGGCAGGCTTCACTGGAGGCTTGGGCTGTTCGCCGGCAGGCTTCACGGGAGGTTTGGGCTGTTCGCCGACAGGCTTCACGGGAGGTTTGGGCTGTTCGCCGGCAGGCTTCACTGGAGGCTTGGGCTGTTCGCCGGCAGGCTTCACGGGAGACATGGGCGGTTCGCCGGCAGGCTTCACTGGAGGCTTGGGCTGTTCGCCGGCAGGCTTCAATGGAGGCTTGGGCTGTCCGCCAGCAGGCTTCAATGGAGGCTTGGGCTGTTCGGACGCAGGCTTCACTGGAGGCTTGGGCTGTTCGCCGGCAGGCTTCAATGGAGGCTTGGGCTGTCCGCCGGCAGGCTTCACTGGAGGCTTGGGCTGTTCGGACGCAGGCTTCACTGGAGGCTTGGACGGATCAGACCCAGGCTTCACTGGAGGCTTGGGCGGTTCAGACGCAGGCTTCACTGGAGGCTTGGGCAGTTCGGCTGCAGGAGTCACTGGAGGATTCGGCAGTTCAGCTGCAGGAGTCAGCGGTTCGGCTGCAGGCGTCACTGGAGGATTCGGCGGCAGTTCGGCTGCAGGCGTCACTGGAGGATTCGGCAGTTCGGCTGGAGGCGTCACTGGAGGATTCGGCAGTTCGGCTGCAGGAGTCACTGGAGGATTCGGCAGTTCGGCTGGAGGCGTCACTGGAGGATTCGGCAGTTCGGCTGCAGGAGTCACTGGAGGATTCGGCAGTTCGGCTGGAGGCGTCACTGGAGGATTCGGCAGTTCGGCTGCAGGAGTCACTGGAGGATTCGGCAGTTCGGCTGGAGGCGTCACTGGAGGATTCGGCAGCTCGGCTGGAGGCGTCGGCGGTTCGGCTGTAGCCTTCACTGCATGGATACAGATAATCCGCTTTAGTCAGTCCGTTTAGCGGAATCCAGTCTCAGATTTAGAGCATAAAACACAAATTGCAAGTTTCTTATTTTAAGTATTAATCGTAATCTATTAGTATTGTAAAGCCATCCGGTGCTTGTTCAGCTGAATACTTTTGACACAGAGAACGGTAAAGTAATTAAATCAAACTGAAATCACGAGAAAGCCGACCCAAACACTAATATAATAACATATCAAATACCTATATATGGAGCCATGCACTGATGTCCACATCCATTGCTGCAGCATTTCTCATTGTTCGGACAGTCACTGTCATAGTAACACAACTCGGCACACATTCCTGCTCCAGACTTTGTGCTTGGACACTCCCCTGGCTTTGCTGTTATACAGACACATGACAGAGAAACCACATCACTGAATACTGAATGTCTCATTCACCGCTTAAAAAATAAAGTTGTCAAAGATGATCGGAGTAGTTTTTACAGGAATATTCAGTCTTTCTACTTGGTAGTTTCATGTTTAGTTCAATGTGTTACTTGCGGTTTCTTTGCAATTGTGAAATGTACTTGCAATTTCTGAGTGAAAACTTGTTTATACACCATTTTTTTCAGTGAAGATCTATAGCATCCATCATTAAACTCACTGAAAACAGGCAGCACGCACACAGCCCCACAGGGAAATTGACAGCATTTGTGTCCTCCAGAGCAGTCTCGATCACAAAGACATCCTCGACGGGACGGCACGACGGTCAGCTTCGCCGGACACTGACCGGACACTACAGAAGAGGATTCAAGAGGATAGTTAGGGGAGACCAGGAAGTGCTTTAATAGCTTGTTTCAGCATTTGCAGAACAGGGGTTTTGCAATATGTGCCTCAAACTTTAATAATATTCACATTTATCAGCTTCAAATCAAAGTAGCTTAGACATCTACCATTTATCACTAAACTGCGTCAATTAGTTTCAAAGACTGAGAGTGCCGTTACAACCTATAGTAGGGCGAGTAATAGTACAATGCTGATAGAAAACATGATGCACATCAGTAAATAGGTTGTTGTAACTAAGTGTACTTCAAAAATTGTTATGCCATCCCTAATTCCAAGCATTTTAATAGGCTACACAACACAAAAGTTATAGCTCCCCGTGTTATAGGCTATTGAAGGCATAAATAGTTGTTAAAATAGGGAAAACAAAACATGAAGCAGAAGTTTAAATTCAGGATTGATGTCTATGTGGTAACAACTGCGTAAACATATAGCATGTTCTTGATTTACAGCAAACAAAAAAATACTACACATTAGAGATTGGATGGGTTTTACTTGTACAATGAAATAAATATGCATAAACTTATGACAGTTTTGCATATTTATACCTTGCTTATTATTGAAACTAAACCACCGTACAAAGTTAAACTTCCACTGGACGTCTGTACTGTACTTTTGTAAACCAATGTGCTGAGATGGGTCCAAGTCATATTTTGTAAGGCACGTTCTTCGGGCTGTGTAATAAACTAAAAGATCTTCTCACCTACGACTCCAGCGTCTGTTGTGCTCAAACATGCAGACAGACACAATAAAACAGCACTAAATGAGCAGTACACTCGAGCTGTCATCCTCACGACCTGCGATCTCACAATCAACTCTGCTAGAAGATGGGCTGAATTAGTGAGTCAGGAGGGGCAGGCAGGGAGAAACACAAACTACAATGAAAAACCGTGCCGCTGCATCAAAATATCTGCTGAATCCCACAACAAACGCTGTAAAAAAAAAGTGGGGTTTTAAAGATCTTCTTGAAAAAAACGCGTTTTTAAAGATCCAAGGAGGTCTAGGTAACTCCAACCCTGATGATTCTCACCTGCCTGCAGCTTTCTAGTAGCCTAATCTCGAAGACCTTGATTAGCTTGTTCAGGTGTTTGATTAGGATTGGATGTCGTAATAATTAAAGTAATTAGGAGATGATTGAGCGTTTGCCAAAAGAATCTGCAGTGGTCAGGTGGTACAGCGATCAAGTGGTACCAGTCGGAGTAGTAGGCTAGCACAAGTTTTAACCGTAATAAAAAAAAATCAGTTTGAATGTCCACTGCGATATCTTGTCCTTTTAACAGTTAATGGGTTTTCCAGTGCCCTGACACACTAGTCAATTTCCAGTTGCATCTTGCTTCTCCGTGTTCACAAGTTTCAGTCCTTTCAATATAAAAGTCTTCTCTACTGACTGACTCACTCATAAAGACAGTCTTTGCCACCATCTAATGGTGAAATAATGTAACTTCTGTTGCTGTTCAGGGACTATTTTTTCCAGCTGAAGGAAGCCTTTGTGATTTTACTTCATGAAAGTTGCATTGATACATATTTTTTTGGCTTTAATTGTTGCATCGTGTGGTAACTCCGCTTCGCGCCTAACAACACCCTTTAGCCAGGGGCGTAATTTGTGGGGGGGATGGGGGGGATATAACCCCCCCAATATTTAAATCTATGCATTACAACCCCCCCATTATTTATACCATGATCACAATATCAGGAGGCATACCCAAACTTCAACCGCCCCAATGTTCAAACCAAATCTACGCCCTTGCCTTTAGCCGTGACTTATTTACGATACAGCACAGCCTCTCGTACCTTATTGCTTACATGTTATGTGCTTTGAGACATGAGGTAAATTAAAGGTGACATATTTTGCCCCTTTTCACAAGATGTAATATCTATGGTGTCCTCAGAATGTGTCTGTGAAATTACAGCTCAAAATACAACCCAGATTATTTATTATAGCTTGTCAAAGTTGCCCCTTTTTGGGTGTGAGCAAAAACGCACCATTTTTGTGTGTGTGTCCATTTAAATGCAAATGAGCTGCTGCTCCCCAGCTTCGGATACTCCGTCAATAACAAAACACGCGAATTTCAGACAAATTTCAGAAATAAGTAGCGGAGGGCAGCCTTACGGAGAGACTCAGGAAGAGGTTGCAACTTTTAGACTTAACCTGGACATTTCTGAATGGTTAGTGGATACAGTTATGTAGTTGTTGTGGAGTTATATTGATTCACCTCATCAACTTGCATGTGCCGTCATGTTTAACTTTTACACAAGTTGACAGTTCCCCGAGCTCTTTATAAGACAGCTGTGACATTTTTTGGTCAAATAGTGCTCTGTGCAGCCAACGACAGAACGGTTTGAGTGCTTTGCTCGAACTTTTGCCATTGCGTTAGAACTGGTTTAGAACTCTCATCTCGTGGCGCTTTGCAGACTCTGCTGTGTGAGTTCATGTGTTTTGAAGGAGGTGTGGCTTTGGAAACACTCTGAAGAGGGGGTGGGATCTCACGCTTTCAAAGCTAGCCTGCCATTGCTAGCCTCTCCGCAATTGCCTACCCTACCTTTAAGCAAAACGTAAAATAGTTACGAATTGCTGTGAGATTGTCCAGAAGTTAAAAATATGTATGAATTTAACAAAGATTTAATGTAACTCAAGTGCTTAACTCCATTAATGAGAGGGGCCCATTTTGTGTAAAGATGAAAACAGAGGTCTTTCGTTACAAGACCTCTTGCACGTGTTTGGGTCTTGGTGAGGTGATTTTTACTTTCCTAAAGCACTAATGCCAATGAACCATTATGTGAGAACAGCCAAATGAACACTGGCATACCAAAAACACCAACTCTACAATCAAGCAATTTTCTTTGTTTTTCCACAGAAACAAAGAAAGAAGTCTTACCAAAGTGTGAGATTTATTTGGTGATAAACAGGGAAGACATCCCATACATTCAATGGTTAAATCAGCACACTTAACTTTATGCATGGCCACATTCTCTAAGACCCCCCATAAGGTGGTGAGGACCCCCCCATATGGCCAGAACATTTGCCATCAGGCCGAGTTTGGTGACAGTTTTCAGCACACACTGCAGGCTTCACTGGAGGCTTGGGCTGTTCGGACGCCGGCTTCACTGGAGGCTTGGGCTGTTCGGACGCCGGCTTCACTGGAGGCTTGGGCTGTTCGGACGCCGGCTTCACTGGAGGCTTGGGCTGTTCGGACGCCGGCTTCACTGGAGGCTTGGGCTGTTCGGACGCCGGCTTCACTGGAGGCTTGGGCTGTTCGGACGCCGGCTTCACTGGAGGCTTGGGCTGTTCGGACGCCGGCTTCACTGGAGGCTTGGGCTGTTCGGACGCCGGCTTCACTGGAGGCTTGGGCTGTTCGGACGCCGGCTTCACTGGAGGCTTGGGCTGTTCGGACGCCGGCTTCACTGGAGGCTTGGGCTGTTCGGACGCCGGCTTCACTGGAGGCTTGGGCTGTTCGGACGCCGGCTTCACTGGAGGCTTGGGCTGTTCGGACGCCGGCTTCACTGGAGGCTTGGGCTGTTCGGACGCCGGCTTCACTGGAGGCTTGGGCTGTTCGGACGCCGGCTTCACTGGAGGCTTGGGCTGTTCGCCGGCAGGCTTCACGGGAGGTTTGGGCTGTTCGCCGACAGGCTTCACGGGAGGTTTGGGCTGTTCGCCGGCAGGCTTCACTGGAGGCTTGGGCTGTTCGCCTGCAGGCTTCACGGGAGGTTTGGGCTGTTCGCCGACAGGCTTCACGGGAGACTTGGGCGGTTCGCCGGCAGGCTTCACTGGAGGCTTGGGCTGTTCGCCGGCAGGCTTCAATGGAGGCTTGGGCTGTCCGCCGGCAGGCTTCACTGGAGGCTTGGGCTGTTCGGACGCAGGCTTCACTGGAGGCTTGGCCGGATCAGACCCAGGCTTCACTGGAGGCTTGGGCAGTTCGGCTGCAGGAGTCACTGGAGGATTCGGCAGTTCAGCTGCAGGAGTCAGCGGTTCGGCTGCAGGCGTCACTGGAGGATTCGAAGGCAGTTCGGCTGCAGGCGTCACTGGAGGATTCGGCAGTTCGGCTGGAGGCGTCACTGGAGGATTCGGCAGTTCGGCTGGAGGCGTCTCTGGAGGATTCGGCAGTTCGGCTGGAAGCGTCACTGGAGGATTCGGCAGCTCGGCTGGAGGCGTCGGCGGTTCGGACGCCGGCTTCACTGGAGGCTTGGGCTGTTCGGACGCCGGCTTCACTGGAGGCTTGGGCTGTTCGGACGCCGGCTTCACTGGAGGCTTGGGCTGTTCGGACGCCGGCTTCACTGGAGGTTTGGGCTGTTCGCCGGCAGGCTTCACTGGAGGCTTGGGCTGTTCGGACGCAGGCTTCACTGGAGGCTTGGGCTGTTCGGACGCAGGCTTCACTGGAGGCTTGGGCTGTTCGCCGGCAGGCTTCACTGGAGGCTTGGGCTGTTCGCCGGCAGGCTTCACGGGAGGTTTGGGCTGTTCGCCGACAGGCTTCACGGGAGGTTTGGGCTGTTCGCCGGCAGGCTTCACTGGAGGCTTGGGCTGTTCGCCGGCAGGCTTCAATGGAGGCTTGGGCTGTCCGCCGGCAGGCTTCACTGGAGGCTTGGGCTGTTCGCCGGCAGGCTTCACGGGAGGTTTGGGCGGTTCGCCGGCAGGCTTCACTGGAGGCTTGGGCTGTTCGGACGCAGGCTTCACTGGAGGCTTGGGCTGTTCGGACGCAGGCTTCACTGGAGGCTTGGGCTGTTCGGACGCAGGCTTCACTGGAGGCTTGGGCTGTTCGGACGCAGGCTTCACTGGAGGCTTGGGCTGTTCGGACGCAGGCTTCACTGGAGGCTTGGGCTGTTCGGACGCAGGCTTCACTGGAGCCTTGGGCTGTTCGCCGGCAGGCTTCACTGGAGGCTTGGGCTGTTCGCCGGCAGGCTTCACTGGAGGCTTGGGCTGTTCGCCGGCAGGCTTCACGGGAGACTTGGGCGGTTCGCCGGCAGGCTTCACTGGAGGCTTGGGCTGTTCGCCGGCAGGCTTCAATGGAGGCTTGGGCTGTCCGCCGGCAGGCTTTACTGGAGGCTTGGGCTGTTCGGACGCAGGCTTCACTGGAGGCTTGGACGGATCAGACCCAAGCTTCACTGGAGGCTTGGGCGGTTCAGACGCAGGCTTCACTGGAGGCTTGGGCAGTTCGGCTGCAGGCTTCACTGGAGGATTCGGCAGTTAAGCTGCAGGAGTCAGCGGTTCGGCTGCAGGCGTCACTGGAGGATTCGGCAGTTCGGCTGGAGGCGTCACTGGAGGATTCGGCAGTTCGGCTGGAGGCGTCACTGGAGGATTCGGCAGCTTGGCTGGAGGCGTCGGTGGTTCGGCTGTAGCCTTCACTGCATGGATACAGATAATCCGCTTTAGTCAGTCCGTTTAGCGGAATCCAGTCTCAGATTTAGAGCATAAAACACAAATTGCAAGTTTCTTATTTTAAGTATTAATCGTAATCTATTAGTATTGTAAAGCCATCCGGTGCTTGTTCAGCTGAATACTTTTGACACAGAGAACGGTAAAGTAATTAAATCAAACAAGACAAACTGAAATCACGAGAAAGCCGACCCAAACACTAATATAATAACATATCAAATACCTATATATGGAGCCATACACTGATGTCCACATCCATTGCTGCAGCATTTCTCATTGTTCGGACAGTCACTGTCATAGTAACACAACTCGGCACACATTCCTGCTCCAGACTTTGTGCTTGGACACTCCCCTGGCTTTGCTGTTATACAGACACATGACAGAGAAACCACATCACTGAATACTGAATGTCTCATTCAC